GAAGTATCCCCAACATTCCATGAGGCCACGTCACCACACGCATCTAGTGACTGTACCTCAGGTTAACGTTAACTGCCCAGAATTTCATGATCTGTGCACGACTGCAGGGAGGGAAGAGATGCTCTGTTTGCAGGAAGATGGAAATGAAGGCCACTTATGTTGTGAAGAATTGCAACTGTGGCATCAGACTCAGAAACAAGAGCATTCCACTTGAATGCATTCTTTCTAGAGTCGAGGCGGATGCAAGAGCCGCAAGCACGCAGGGGCTGTGAGGGCAGAGTCTGACGCAGAATCTGGTACAAAACTCCCGAGTGATAACGCTGCTTATTAACCACACATGTTGTGATAGGTCAAAGCTGAGGTCAGACAGAAAACATCAATTGAACCATTTCCCTGAATAAAGCTCCAGGGTGCAATATTCTACGCACTTTATTCAATAAAAAATGCTTTTAAAACGGTGCTTTGGTGATTGGGAAGCAGTGCCATCATCCGTCAACCTAACTGCAGCAAAGTTCAATAAGCTAAATAATGAACCATTTAGATGATTTTGCTTGGGCCTCAGGGATTTGCAAACATTGCATCAATAAAGCTCTTTAAAAATTATGATGAACTCTATTTTTTTCATTTTCAGATTTAAAATATGTTAGGGATTTTTTTAAGGTTATTTAATATGCTGCTACTTTTAATCATTGCCTAATCTCCAAAGTAAAAAGAAAATTGTGAGCAAGTAAAAAACTTAATTATAAGATTAGCAGTCAGTCATCCTGGAATCGATGAACTCTGTCTCTATTGTGAATTCCTAGTTTAAGATTTGAAAAGTGTTATGACATATATGAAACTAAAGATAAAAAAAGCCTACAAAAATTTTTCCGTTCCTCCTTCCTTTCTTTTTAGAGAGATCGAGCAGGGGAGGGGGCAGTGGGTGGGGAGTTTGGCGGGGGAGGGAAAGAGAGGATCCCAAGTAGGCTCCCCGCTCAGCACAGAGCCTGGCTCAGGGCTTGATCCCATAGTGCTGAGATCACGACCTGAGCCAAAATCAAGATTCAGATGCTCAACCAACTAAGCCACCCAGGCACCCCAAAAATCCCATGTATTTTCCAAAAAATTTATACTTCTTTTTGGCAGGTATTAAGGTTAAGTATGTATTATAGTATTTTAAAACTAATACAATTTTCCTTAAGGAACATCTGTGGTCTCAGTTTCCCATGCTGAAGACTGAGAAATAAGTCTTTCTTAGTCTAGAATCGTACGGAATCCTTGAGAATTTCTAGGATGTTACACTACAGAACACAATGTACTCAAGCCGTTGTTCACATGAACAGGACTGTGGTCCATTTCCTTTAAAGAGCAGCCACCAGCGGCCTCCATCTGTCTCAGAGCATCCACTGGAAAGATAAGACGGCAATTTATAGACCTTATAAATCTTAGCTATTCATCTTACAGTTTCTCCTACATTTCCTGTTATCACACACACACACACACACACACACACACACACACACACACACACAAACACACACACACGATTCCACAAGCCGTACTGAGTTTGGCTACAAGAGATTTTTACACACTTATTAACATAATGTACAGAACGTTTTGCTCCTGGTGGGGACAGTCCTGTCTGCTGGCACATGGAGGAGGCTGTGCCTGAGGAGCGGGGAGCTCGGGCCCGCACCCACCCAGTCTCCTCCGTACACACGGAGCTACACTCTGGGGTTTCTCAACAACCCAGTGCACTGCAGTTAATCCAACGTTCACAGGCTCAGCCAATATCCCCCGAAATGAGAGGGGTGGGTGACACGGACTCACAAAAAGATGCAGTTGGTCATCACAGTTCATTAGGTACCAAAAAGGGAAAGACCTTTTAAGCTACGGACCCCACGGCTCTGGCTCCCACTTGCTGTCATGGCCCAATATTCCCAGGAGACTAGTTTCTAGGTAATTACCAAAGTCGGCTCCCTGCACCTCCCTGCATAGCCTGGGCCTTGGGGGCCAGCCGAGACCTGTGCACCCACACCTGCGGGGGGAGGGGGGCCCAGCTGAGACCTGTGCACCCACACCTGNTCTCCTCCGTACACACGGAGCTACACTCTGGGGTTTCTCAACAACCCAGTGCACTGCAGTTAATCCAACGTTCACAGGCTCAGCCAATATCCCCCGAAATGAGAGGGGTGGGTGACACGGACTCACAAAAAGATGCAGTTGGTCATCACAGTTCATTAGGTACCAAAAAGGGAAAGACCTTTTAAGCTACGGACCCCACGGCTCTGGCTCCCACTTGCTGTCATGGCCCAATATTCCCAGGAGACTAGTTTCTAGGTAATTACCAAAGTCGGCTCCCTGCACCTCCCTGCATAGCCTGGGCCTTGGGGGCCAGCCGAGACCTGTGCACCCACACCTGCGGGGGGAGGGGGGCCCAGCTGAGACCTGTGCACCCACACCTGCGGGGGGAGGGGGGCCGGCCGAGACCTGTGCACCCACACCTACGGGGGGAGGGGGGCCGGCTGAGCCCTGTGCACCCACACCTGCAGCACCCTGTGGCCAGAACATGCCAGGGGGCGACGCAGACGGAACACGGTGAAGGTGAGGGATGGTTCAGGATCAAGCAGATTTGAGATACTTCTTTTATCAGGCTTTTTCATTCTTTTTAGTTTAAGAAAACTGAGTAATTCTAAGAATAATAAAGTTACTGTAAAGATGTTTAACAGCGACAGTGTTGATGAAAGAGTAAAGGTCCTCACGAATGAGAACCAAGAACAGGGTGGCCGGGGAGAAGTCGGGGCGCGGTGCTCGGGGAGCCTGTGGGAGGACCCCCTGCGGTGAGGGGGCGCCGGGGGCGCGGCAGCCGCAGAGAGGAGGACCCGCAGCTGTGTGGAGGGGAGCAGGAGGGGGGCCCAGGCTCCAGTTGAAGGGGAGGGAGGAGCCAGCGGCACTGGCGGTTCCATCATGAAAGGAAAACGACCCAACTTTCACGGTTGCAGCTGCATCTTCATGGCCGCTAAGCTCTTACTCGAGTAATGACGTGTTGCCCTAATTTCTAACTTAGTTTGTTTTGGTTACTGTGAGACAATTTCTTGGCTAAATAATCAAGGAGATACCAGTGTAACTAAATCTTCAGAAATGAACTTGGTTTCCAGAAAACACAGCAGTGCATAAAGCTTTGTAAAACACCATAAATCCGTAGGTACGAAGTCACAGCCCAGGCACCAAGTTCGGGTCTGTTTCCACTGGGGGACCTTCGGGGTGGGGGGCGCTGGCCACACACCCCGCGAGGGGCCACGTGGGGACTTGCAGGACTCTGTGGCTCTCAGCCGTGGGTGCACCTTAGCGCGCCCCCAGAACGGAGAAGCATCCAGCCCCACCAGGCCCACCCAGTAACCACGTGTGGGACTGAGCACACGCACAGATGAACAAAACAGAGAAAAGACGGCGGGAGTGTGCGTCTGCCGGCCGTGCCGACGGGATGGAGGGCACCGCCGGGACACCTGTGCCTCCCAGGAGGCTGCACACCAGGGCCGAGGGCACCTCTGGGAACGAGACACGTCAGGACGGTCACAACCCGCGTTCTCCCCGGAGAAGTCCCTGGAAAGGGCTTGCGTCCTCTCCCTGCTGCACTGGCCGGGCCAGGGCTCCTCCGTTTGGCTCCCGCAACACAGTGCGCACAGTCCTCTCTCTCTGCCCGTGGTCACAGCTGGCTCGCTGTTACTCAGGTGACACCTTTCCGAACACTTTAAACTCACACTTTACCTTTGGCTTCCTAACTAACTTTAATCAGTAAAACAGGGTGCACTAGCCGGTGCTCCGGACTCCGCAGGGCACGTGTGGGAGTGCACGCCACCGCCTCTTCCCAGCTGCACAACGTGGCCCCGGGCATCCGCGGCCTCAGCAGCTCCCCAACGCCAACACCCCGACAGTAGAGCGGCACCCAGTTTCTGCGGTGATGTCATTACAGTGGAAGGACCCTGCTCTTTTGAAATAATCTCGATAACGAGAATCACCGGCCTCCTCTTTCTAAAACAGCAAATCAGAATTTTAAAAAACTGTGATTGAGGGGCGCCTGGGGGGCTCAGTCGGTTAAGCATCCGACCGGCTCAGGTCATGATCTCACAGTTTGTGGGTTCGAGCCCCGCGTCGGGCTTTGTGCTGACAGCTCAGAGCCTGGAGCTGCTTCAGATTCTGTGTCTCCCTCTCTCTCTGTCCCTCCCCTGCTCGTGCTGTCTCTCTGTCTCTCTGTCTTTCTCTCAGAAATAAACATTACAAAACCCTGTGACTGGGGGTTTTTGTATGACCCAGTTTCAGGTATTTAAACAGGCTTATTTGCTTCTACTGCCTCCAAGGTCTGATTACAGAATCATCTGAAGGACCCAGAGTAGAAAATAGTGCACAAGCGAACCGTATTTAAAATATACTGGCTGTATAGGAATTGGACAAATTAACTTAACAATGGCTTTTATCTAAAAATTAAAAAACGATGCCAAGTTAGAAATGACTATACCGTATTTAAGATTTTACTGTAGATTACTTTCATTTATCTTCTGTAGATTTTTGAAATGATCTGCATCCCAATTCTCTTTTGAAATAGATACACTGTGTCTCAATACTGGCAAAAAAAAAAAAAAAAACCCAAACCCAAACCCAAACCCAACGGACCCCAAAGCCCTGGAAATGTACTTGGAGGCGAGAGGAGGCGGAGGCGGGGACACTCCAAGTCTCAGCAGCTTTAGGAAGACGTGACTTGGTCACTTCAGTTCTGGTTTTTCTCATGTGTTTTCCGCTCCTGGACTTAGACTTTCTGGGAGGTGTGGACACACGGAGACCAAAGGCACGTCTCGGAGAGGGCCCGGGAAGAGCGTGTGGCCTCCGGCCGGCAGCCGAGGGCTGCGAGGAAGCGCGGCACAGCCCCCCTCGCCCCGCGGAAGGACTCGGCCTCATGCCTCGGAGCCCGACCGAGAGCCAAGGCGGTGGGCCCCGTGCCCTGGCCCCCGGGGGCCCCGACCCACCTCATCGGGGCTGGCGGCCTGGTAGCTCCGGTCCCAGTCGCTGAAGGCTTGATCCGCCTCGGGGCGCTCGGCCTCCCCGCCCACGCCGGCCCGCGGCTCGTACACGGGGCTCACGTTGTGGCACAGCGCGATGGCCTTCACTGCGTCGTGCACGCGGCCGCGCACACTCTTCCTGACTTTGGGGGCTGGAGCCTGGGCCTTTCTTGGGGGTGCCGAGCTGGCACTGTTTCCGCTCGCTTGCGACGGTGCCTGGGAAAATGTGGAATGTCACAAAGTTACAAATACAACGTAGTCGATACTGGAATTATTAGCATATGCTATTTTTATAAGCTAGTTAGCTGGGGGTGAGAAAAGTAGCTTGGGGCTCCTGCGTGGCTCCGTCGGCTGAGCATCCAACACTTGACTTTGGCTCAGGTCATGGGACTGAGCCCCACGTTGGGCTCCATGCTGGGCATGGAGCCTGCTTGAGATTCTCTCTCCCTCTGCCCCGCTCCGCTGCTCGTGCATAATTCTGTCTAAAATAAAATACCAAAAACAGAATCAAGACTTAAAAAGAGGAAGAAAAGTAGCTTGTTTGATGATCTGGCTGATTCGGACTGCCTTCTTTGGAACAGCTGTTAGTGTGGTTACTTCCTGGTCCTCGTGCTGGACAGGGCATTGCTATTTCCTGGTTGTCACACGTACCAAAATATCTGTTCCAATACTTAAAATCTGGGCATTTCCTGCTAGTAGATTCACTTGAGCCGTGGTGTTAGCTTGCTAAGTCCTTAATAACTCATGCACGTTCTCTCTCTGAAGACGGGTACATTAAAGAACAGAACAGCAGACTCAACTGTTCTCACTTTGCTTTAAGAAGTGCTGTACCTCAAGTGATGTAGAGCTGAAATCAGGGGGAAAATGCTTATGAATCTTCCTTTAATACAATAAATTAATCCACCTCATGACAGCCTCTGAAGTTAGGGTCTGATTTCAGGCCTAACAATCATTAAACATGACGAACACTGCATTCAGAGGAAGAATGATCCCGTGTCAGAGGTCAGATTCGTGTTCTCTTGACCTGACTCCCCATTTACACTGTGTTTGGCTCTCGTCACACTCAGCTGTGTCCGGGGGCTCACCTCGGCCAGCGAGGCGGCAGCCGCTCACTGTGCCCCATCCTGGGGGAGGTGGAGAGGAATCCCCCCCCCCACACACACCGGTAGGACCTCAGACGTTCCTCAGCTAAGTTCAGAGCCACTGGTGAGTCCTCCCGAGAAAGCCAGGCCCCGCTCTCGAACGGGATGTGTGGAGCCACTGAGCCGTGAACACTCCTGTCAAATCCGAGTGCTGTCTAATGATGGGTCCGCTGCCCGGCCCCGCAGCTGGCCCTGCCCGTCCCCAGCGCCTCAGACCCGCATCTGCGTGCTGCCCACTCAGCTGCAGCGCTGCCGAGACCCCGGCCGACTCCCCGTCATGGATTATGTTTACTGATGGCTGTATGATTCAGTGTCACACAAATGCCATTAAAGATGACGCCCTCCATCACCAAATGCTTCCGGTGGGGAAACATACTGAGATCACGGAACACTTGTCACATTACACTGGACCTGGTAGACGATTATCATCTTAATAAAAAGACAGAATCTAAGAAAATCAATTTTACATAAAAATAACTGTCTAACCAACTAACAAACAGATAGCTTACAAAAAAAGATTTTTTAAAGAACTCTTACATGGAAATAAGTATTAAGTATTTGTTGTTTTTATACAGTGGCTTATTTTTTCTGCTTTTAATTTCTAGTAAAATAGCTTATTGAGAGGTATTAAAATCATATTTGTGGATAATGTAAATTAGTTTTTTTAAAAAAAAGATGTTCCCTGGTACTATTTCCAACTAGACAAAGATTATTAGAAGTCTTATTCTTCCTCCTCAAATTTTCCTTCTGTTAATATTCTAGGTTACAAAATACATAGCCACACAGCTAGCTCAGTCAGTTAAGCGTCCAATTCTTTTATTTTTTTTATAAATTTTTTTTTTTATAGTTTATTTATTTTTGAGACAGAGAAAAACAGAGCATGAGTGGGGGAGGGTGAGAGAGAGAGGGAGACACAGAATCTGAAGCAGCTCCAGGCTCTGAGATGTCAGCACAGAGCCCGACACAGGGCTCGAACCCACAAACTGCGAGATCACGACCTGAGCCAAAGTCGGACTTTTCAGTCAGCTTAACTGACTGAGCTCCCCAGGCGCCCCATGCATCTAACTCTTGACCTCAGCTCAGGTCATGACCTCATGGTTCAGGAGTTTGAGTCTCACTTCGATCCCCCTGCTTGGGATTCTCTCTCTCCCTCTCTCTCTGCCCCTGCCCTGCGCGTGCTCTCTCCCAAAATAAATAAACACTCAAGATACTCTATTGAAATGAGTGACGTCCTACTTCATAAAGTGCTTGGTTTCCAGTTTGTACGTCTGCTTGTGTAAGTGATCAGTATATACGGCAAACATACAGGCATCAGATAGTTTTCATTTGACAGCATCTTGAAAATAAAACTATATGACATTCTGGTGAATGTTACGGAAGAAAGAGAAGGTTTACACAAGCTAAATGCAAGGCAGACAGTCTCCCTGAATTTGGTCAGAGCAGAAAGTGCTCAGGGCATGTGTGGTTTTAGCCCCCACCTGTGAAAGTCAGGTCAGAAGTAGGACAGTTAACCCAGAGGGTCGACAGCCTCCCAGATGGCCCAGCGGAGCCTGGAGACACGTGAGCCACCTCTACCCGGTGGGCCGGCCACCTGCTCCTTTGTGCCTGACACCCTGCGCTGGCTGTTACAGTGTGGTGACTAAACCTGACCGCAGAGCAGCAAGGAGGCAGGGAAGGGGTGGCTGGCCCCTGAGCATGGGAAATAGATGGCCTGGGGCACGAGGTGCGGTTACTCAGAACCAGGGGATCCATAGAGTGCGACACGCACTACCTGGGGGCGGTCACGGGGAGGAATCACGTGGCCTAAAAGAAACTCTGGCAAATGGCCTAGGTCTGCCAGCCCTCTGCTCGTGATCCGTGCGCCCCGTAGGCCCAGCGGGGGACCTGCGGTGTCAGGACCGTCCCAGGACACCCCACAGATGCGTCCCCTGCAGATTCCGCCGCCTACAAGTTACAGCAGATGCTGTGACTACCGGGCTGCGTCCTTGTGAGAAGGCAAGTGATTCCCGTTCCTGCACCTCAGCTCCTGAGGCTCAGTGAGCAGACAAGATGCAGGTTGTGTCCCCCCCACAAATGCCCTTATGTAATCCAGCTACAGACCCCACGTTTACAGACGGACTAACGTGACATCTGGGGATCGCTACACAACATGGGCAGGCCAAGGCCTGGTGGGCACGGACACCTGCTGAGGCTGACGACGGGCGGCGGGCGCACGGTGCTGGGCACCACTTGTTTATTGAAAAGGCAAAAAGGTATGAGAAAGTCTTATTAGCTATGAAGAAAAACAGGGACAGTCAGGAAACACATTTGATGGGACACCTGGGGGCTCAGTTAGGTAAGTGTCCGACTTCGGCTCAGATCATGATCTCCCTGTCTGTGGGTTCGAGCCCCTCGTCGGGCTCTGTGCTGACAGCTCAGAGCCTGGAGCTGCTTCAGATTCTGTCTCCCTCTCCCTCTGCCCCTCCCCTGCTCGCACCACCTCTGTCAAAAATAAACATTAAAAAAAAATCTTTTTTAAGTTTTAAAATAAAAGACATCTAAAAACTCCCTTTTGATTTATAAACTAGAACCGAATATTTTGGGACATTCAAAGAAGTTTGCCAATTTTCAGATGAGTAGATGCAATGGGCTCAGGTTGGCCGGATGGCCCCGGGCCCTTCCGCAGACGGCTCCGCGCTGCGCCGAGGCGCATGAGCTCACCTGCGGGCACGGATTCATGAGGTGGTTCTGGATCTCGTCCATCGTGTCTGCGCCATAAGACACAGTCCCCAGGTGCAGCCGCTTAAATACCATCTCGTTCTGGGTGAGGGTTCCTAGGACAGGGGTGGCAAAGACGAAAATAAATGCGCACGGGAGGCCAGCAAGTGACCACAAGACTTCCCATCCCGCACACCCTCCTCCCTCAGCGCCCTGCTCTGTAACTCTAGCTCCTGAAGATGTCCTCCCGCGAGGACAAGGGCCCGTCCCAGCTCCCTCGGGGACAGCTGCAGTGACACGCACGCTCTGCCCTTCAGCTCACGTTGGCGTCTGGCCCAAGTGCGGCTCCGGACACGGCCGTCTGGGTAGATATGCTCTAGGACACTGTCTGAGAGACCTCGGCCAGTCCCAAATCAGCATGCCTATCAGTTTTTCAAAAACCCAATTTTGAAAAATTAAGTATTTTTCATTGAACAGAAACAGATGCATTTAACCCTCTGCATCCATCTGTGCCACGTGGGGCAAGCGCGCAGGCGGGAAGGCACACGCTCCCGAGCTGAGTCTCTGACCATTGAGCCGTCTGGAGGTGCCCACGCCCCGCTGTCCTCCGCAGATGGGGAGGGGCTCCAGAGGGCAGGGGTCACTCCGGGGGACTGCCTGCCCGCGTGTGCCCGGCACTAATGTGTGCCTGCGCTTGAGTACTTCACTGCTGGCGTGTGAGGGAGGCAGTTTAGGAGAGGAGCATGCACAGGTCGGGTTTATGACATTTCTGGGGTCTGGCTTCCTAGCAGGGAGATATGCAGTGAGTAACCTCATGAAAGGCAATGAGACATAACGTTATTTCAAAAATATGGTGAGTTTTCATTACAAGTGATACATAAACCCCCATGTTACCCGTGAGGACTCTGGAACCCCAAACTCTGTGTAACTGGATCACTTAATATAAAAACACACGTCGAGTATGTGCACCTGATTCTTGCTCACTCGCTCTTGGGGACGTGTGGGCGCCTGCAAATGTGTCTCTCACGTGCTGCAATGAGGCGTGCTGTCAGGCAGCCTCCCCTGGGCTTCTGTGCACGTACTTCAAGGCACACAGACGGATCAGCCACGGGCTGAGGTCATTGTAAACGTGGGCGTGAACAGTCCTAGCACCAATCAGTCACAACAGAAGGCGGGCTTTCCACACGGCTACCAGATGCCCACAAAGTATTAGCTGGGTTTTGCTTTCTTTGGCACACATAACATGGCAAATACGCAGCGTCTTCCTATCTACCCGACTCCACACACATTGGTGGGAACAGGCGCTCGAAACCAAAGAGCTCGCCCGACAGGACTGCCCCGAGACATGACGGGGCCTTGCACGTGTAAGGAAAGCCTGCCCTCCCGACTGTGTCGGGGCTGTTTCAGCAACCGTCTTACAAGAATGGGCACGAAACAGCAATTTCACACGTTCCAGGCCGCAGCGCCGCTCACCTTATACGTTTTGTCTTTAAACCTTTTAATGCTGTGAATAAATGGATCCTAAGTTTCCTGAAATCAGAATTACGTGAGAAGTACAGTTTAAAAGGGCTTTTGGGTTATGTCCTCATCATCAAATAGAATTAGTTTTAAACTGTGGGTTACATTAAACTATGTGATTGAAAACAACTCAGCCTCGAAATGAAATAAGCAAGTTCTAGAAATGATTTATATCAAAGATCTGAGATGAAAACGATAGTTGTTATCCAAAATCAAGACCATGAAACTGTATGTTAATTCCTATTAGAATACACACAAAGTTCACCTCTATTATGTGTGCCCAGATGAATCCTCTGAAAAATTATTTAACAGGTTATTCTAACAAAAAAGATTTTACTTATCAGATTGACATAATTAAAGAATTTCCTGTTGACATTTTTTCTCTGAAACACACTGAACGTGAGACAGTAGTTTACAAAGGCTGTGGTGATGAGGCCGTTTCTAAGTGTGACTATGATAAGTAATGCTTCTCTTAACCTGACTTTTTATTACTAACGACTCTCTCTACGCGGCAAAGTATACAATGGTGGACACCTGGCCGTTCCTACCCAGAGCACGCTGTTACTTCTTTAGGGTTTTAAACCACTGACTGCAAGTAACAGAAGACCCCAGGTGAGGAGACCCTGTCTTCCCCTCTGCTCGCTGCCTTACGCCACGGGGCCGGCACCGGGCGTGCCAAGTTCACTCGGTGCTAGTGTTGTTTCTGTATTAATCATTTGTCACTTCTTAACTTTTTTTTTTTGTACAAACCGAAGTAAAATTGACACACGCTGTTTCGGGTGCACTAGCGAAACACTTTTGCACATTACAAAATGCCTCTGTAAGAGCAGTTACCACCTGTCGCCGTACCCGTTATTACAAGGTCATCAACCGCGCTCCCCAGGACGCACTTATGTTGTAACAGCAAGTCGTTCCTTCTCATCCCCTTTGCCCAAGTCACCCATCCCCCCGCACCCTCCCCTCTGCTAACTACCTGTGTCTAGGAGTCTGTTTCTCTTGTTTGTCTGTTTAGATTCCTCATATCTGAGGTTCTCTGACTCACTTCCCGTGGCATAACATCCTCTAGCTCCATCCATGCGGTTGCAAACGGCGAGATTCCATCTTTACGGCAGCGGCGCACTGTATGGACATACATCTTCCTTACCACTCACCTCTCGGGGACGCCTGGGCTTTGCTGAGAAAGCGCTACTGTAAATAAAGCTACAATGAACACAGGGGTGCAGACAGCTTTTTGAATTACTGTTCTTGTTTTCTTTGGGTAAATACCCAGGACTTGAATTACTGGATGATTACTTGGCCTCCCCTATTTTTAACGTTTTGAGGAACCTCCACAGTGTTTTCCAGCGTGGCTGCCCCAGTTTGCATTCCCACCAGCAGCGCAAGAGGCTTCCCCTTCCCTCCACATCCTGGCCAGCACCTGTGGTGTCCTGTGTTGCTGATTTTAGCCGCTCTGACAGGTGTGAGGTGGTGGCTCAGTGTGGTTTTGATCTGTATTTCCCCGATGAGGAGTGATGTTAAGCATCTTTTCATGTGTCTGTTGACCATTTGGATGCAAATGTCTATTTGGATCCTCTGCCCATTAAAAAAAAAAACTTGTTATTTTTGGATATTAATCCCTCATGGGATGGCTGATTTGAAAATATCTTCTCCCATTCAGTAGGTTGCTTTTTCATCTTGTTGACGGTTTCCTTGCTGTGTAGAAGCTTTTTAGTTTGATGAAATCCCACTGGTTTATTTTAGCTTTTCTTGCCCTTCCCTGGGGAGACAGATCCAAGTAAATGCTATGAAGGCCAATGTAAAGAGATTGCTGCCTGAGTTTTCTCTAGAACTTTTGCTGTTTCTGGGCTTTGCTTCTGTGCTGATTTTGTGGGTAGAAGAAAAAGGTCTAGTAGCTTCTTTTCCATGTGGCTGTCAGCGATGAGACACTCTTTTCACCATCGTATGTTCTGGTTTCCTTTGTTGGGATTAGTTGCCCGTTTATTGGGGAGGGGGGTGGCTCCTGATTCTGTTCAACTGGTCTGAGCTAGGACCACGGCCCTGCAGGCGTTTTAGGGCTTAGGGCGCCACTGTTTTCTGATCTCGTAGCGCCCAGCTCCCCCCACTCTTCCTCCAGGTGGTTCTACGGCCTGGCCTCCCCACCCACTGACCAGTCGACACGCCCCCCCATGGCCCTGGCTTCCCCCTCCCCCGACCAGTCCACAGCATCCTCACCAGCCACACCCCTCCCGTGTCCACCGCAGGCCCAGTGGCCGCCCGGCCTCAGGCCACAGCCACCCTCCCCCAGACACACCGTCAACTCACATGCCCATTGATTTCCGACACGTGGAATTCATTTACGTGTTTGGCAAAAAACTCCCTCAGAGGCATTGCTGCTCACTGGGTTTGGAGGCACTGTTCCCGCCAGGGGGGTGGGGGTGGGCCAGCCAGCACCGCCCCGCCCCCCCCCCAGGCAGAAGTAAACATGGTGCAAAGAACCGGGGCCAAGTGCATGCGGTCAGACTGTTAGTAAGACAGTGAGACAAGAACCCAGACCCTCGGGGCGCCTGGGTGGCTCAGTCGGTTAAGCGTCCGACCAGCTCAGGTCATGATCTCACGGTTGGTGGGTTCGAGCCCTGCGTCGGGCTCTGTGCTGACAACTCAGAGCCTGGAGCCTGTTTCGGATTCTGTGTCTCCTTCTCTCTCTGACCCTCCTCTGCTCATGCTCTCTCTCTCTCTCTCTCCTAGAAATAAATAAAAAATATTAAAAAAAAAAAAAAAGAACCCCAGACCCTCTGGTCACACAGGTGTCCTGCACGCGTCAGCCGCCTCGGTCCCATACCTGCTGGCTAGTGACCAGATTACGTGCTGTGCTAACATTTGCTGAGGAAAATGAAGGCTTCGTTCAAAGACCAGGTTCAGGTAAGGGTATAAGCGTATTAAGAAAAAGAGCAGATCAAGTTACCCTGTAGGAGAAAGGATCAGTCATGTCTAGAAAAAGATTAATCATTTCTAGAAAGATCTTTTGGGCTGTGTTTCATACATTTCAACAGGGTTTTAAACAGTCGTGAATGAACACAACACTGAATCCATTCACATCACAGTGAACACGAACAGCCCGCTGCTCGTCAGGTGGCAGCTCCGATGACAGGGACACACACAACGGCGGCCTGGAACCTGGGCGGAAGCGAGAAAGCGCCTGGGAGAGAGACGGCTGCACGTGTGGAGCACACGCGCGGGCAGAACATGCACCAATGCACGCTGCCAGTTTCCTCACATCCTCTGGGGCCCGTGGGCCTTCTGGGCGCAGGCCACACAGTCCGCCGGGGACATACGGTCTCCATTATGTGGGGTGGACCTTCCAGCTAGAACATTCCACGGTCTGACGTTGAGCTCTAAAAGTCCACTGTTTTCACAAATGTCATCTTCCTGGATCCTCACAGGACCATGGACTGGTGGGTCCCGCACCTGTGGCCAGGCCCGTGCCTCCAGCACGCTGTGGAGCAGTGTGCGTCCCGGCAGCGGGGGTCTGGCCGGGCCTGTGTTTGTGCTCAGGGTACTGGAAATGCTAGAGGCGGACACAGTGAGTTTCTCCAGCTTAATGTGATAACAGCTATGAGCTACATCAGTGAAGTGACAGGAAGAAGCAGTGAATGAGCTTTTCCCAAGGACATCACAGTGACCAGGACACATGCCTCCCCAGAGAGACCCGAGGGCGTCGTAGTGACCAGGACGGACGCCACCCTCAGGGACACAGGACACTGACAGACACGGGTGCACGTTTATAAACTACTTTCTCACGTGACCACACACAGGGGTCTGGTACTTGCAGGGATGCGCCGTGAACTTGTACACACCACATTCTGTCAGGGACCCTCTCAACCATGGATATTGGGACGGTTTACAATTTCCGCTATAAAAACATGATTTCTGTAGGGTAGATTCTTAAAGATGAGATTTCAGGGAGCTCGGCATGAATTTACATATAGCGCCACGCCAGCGTCCCCAGGTCACGCTGGTCAGGGTGCCCGCCACCAACACGGGCTGCTCAGCCACGGCACTGACAGGCATCAGGTCACAATCACAGAGCTGTTCAGAGGCACTAGCCCTAAATTATGTTCTGAAGATGTAATTTCAGATTCAGATGTTTGTATTTTTGCGAGAGAGAGACAGAGCATGAGTGGGGGAGGGGCAGAGAGAGGGGGAGACACACAATCTGAAACAGGCTCCAGGCTCCGAGCTGTCAGCACAGAGCCCGACACAGAGCTCGAACTCACGAACCGTGAGATCATGACCTGAGGTGAAGTCAGACTCTCAACCGACGAAGACGCCCAGGTGCCCCTATTTTCATTTTTTAAAACTCGAAGAGTAAAGCCCGGGGAGAATATGGCGTTACGTTCAGGCGTCTGATCCGCCGCGCACCCCAGCCTGGACGTGCCTCTGCTACTCAGCACTCAGCTGTAAGAGCGCTCTATGACCGATAACTGCTTTTCTGGTGTCATGTTTAGTTCCGTTCCATTTTCCAGGCCGATGCTGTGAACAATCCTCCGTCGTCCCATGCCGTAGAGGCACACCTGCGTCCCAAGGGGCAGGGCTGAGCGCAGCTGCCCAGACGAGCGTGCAGCACGTAACACTCCCACCAGTGGTGGAGAGAAGGCCCTGATGCGCTGTGCACCACCGCACACAGGTCAGGCGTCTTCTGTGGGGCCATGTCTCTACCGCATGAAGCCACCGACTCACGAACACGAGTGCCCGTCCACTACGCAGGTCTCGCGGGGTCTTCCAAAGTGTAAGAACCTACATCCATATGGGCCTCACACATTTTTTTCTTTGAATTTATTTTTAATATACTTTTTGTTGCTATTCTTACTGGCATTTTTCGAACTACACAACCCTGTTGTTGCTGGTATAGGAAACGTGGTTTAATCTTGATGGTGAGTTTATAGGTGACTGAGCCCTCCTGTCATTGTAAACACTTTCCTGCGGCTCCTTCGGGTTTGTTTGTAAAGCGTCGTGCAGTCCGTTCCCCTTGGGCTAGCACGCTGCTCACGCAGAACGCGGAGCGCATGCAGCCGTTCTCTCAGTGAGGCCGCGGACAGAGGCCAGGCTGCGGAGGGCAGGGGTGGGCCGGGTCCCTCTAACCCTCACCTGCCTCACCCTGCACGCCTTGTGCTATCTCTGTAGGGTCGTTTTTGGAACCATTTGGAGTTTGGGTTTGATTTGCTTCAGCTTCTCCATCAAAATGATTCCACCTGTTTTCCAGAAAAAAATCACTTCTGTAAGGGTGCTTTTGCTTATTTTTCACTATGGTTTACAGATTTGTTCTTTAAGATTTTCTCCTGTCAGCTCCGTGAGGGAGGGAAGGGAGGAATCTGAAGGCACCTTCTCAGGGTACCGTCTTGGGCGTAAGGTCCTCGGTATCCCGGAGTCTTATAACCGTGCGTGAACTTACTGGCAAGGATCCCGAGATGCCACAAAGCCCAGCCCTGATGAAGACCAGACGCCACCCGACAGCGGGATTTCGACTGAACTGCAGTAAGCCCCTCGCTTCCTCGTGAAGGCTGACGGTGACGAAACACCCAGTCTTCTCGCCGGGAACCACAGTTGGTCTCTCCACTGGGTCATGCCTTCTTTCATGAACCTCTGGAAGGTCGGCCCACCTTCACACGCTTGGCGCTGCCGTGAGGGCCTTACTCTCCAGTCCGCTCATCACGCAGGGAGCCATTCCGATGTTTTCCCCATGACCTGGCGCTTCACTGATTTTCAGCACTTGACTTCCTTAGGTCACTGTTTCGTCTACAAATATTTCCTTACTCTTTTGGTCATGCAGCTTGCTTCTGGTACTTATCTTACTGTGATTCTAGAAGAATGCGTGCTAAATCACAATGTTAGTTTTTTCTTTCTTCTTCCTAGGATGAAGCTTATTCTCACCTTTTGTTAACAATGATGTTGAATTGGGGCGCCTGGATGGCTGAGTAGGTTAAGCATCCGACGTCGGCTCAGGTCATATCTCACAGTTCGTGGGTTCAAGCCCCAAATCAGGCTCTGTGCTGACAGCTCAGAGCCGGGAGCCTGTTTCGCATTCTGTGTCTCCCTCTCTCTCTGACCCTCCCCCACTCATGCTCTCTCTCTGTCTCAAAAACAAACTATAAAAAATTTTTTTAATAAATAAAAAAACATTGAAAAATTTAAAAAAAGATAATGTTAAATTTTACTTGAGACATATTTTACCATATGGTATAAATATTCTCTTATTTCTAGTTAACCAAGAATTACTGGGAATTTAGGGGCGCCTGGGGGGCTCAGTTGGTTAAGCGTCTGACTTCAGCTCAGGTCATGATCTCACGGTTTGTGGGTTTGAGCCCCACATCGGGCTCTGTGCTGACAGCTCAGGGCCTGGAGCCTGTTTCAGATTCTGTGTCTCCCCCTCTCTCTGCCCTTCCCCTGCTCACACTGTCTCTCTCTCTCAGAAATAAAACATTTTAAAAAATTAAAAAAAAAAAAAGAATTACTAGGAATTTAAACCACGAGTGAACAAATCAGGTGGGGACTTTAACCCTGGATTCAGTTTATCTTTTATTGAATACGTTATGGGTCAACAAGAATTCTTTGATGAAGAAAGTTAAAAATGAAATAAGGACAAGTAAAATTTGGGGCATGGGCCCGATGGAGACAGTCTGTAGTGAGACTCCTTAGGAGAACATACTACGAAAATACCAATCCACATGCACACTGTTGTGGCCCCACAGCTGAGCGGCGCCACCTGCAGCGTAAAGGCATCTGCCCTCCCACGCACCCTCCACAGAGGTGTCATGCAGGCGGTTAAGAAAAAGAACTATAAGCCTGGAGAGACGTAAAAATATACAAGCAATCATTTAAATCTCTAAGAATTTAACATTTTTCTAATTCTAATGATATTCCAAGATGAAGACTAGTTGTGTGCCAGTGTTCTTGGCAAAGTCTGGAAAATTCTAAATGTGAATGAATTCAATACCCTGCGACACACATACACAAGCACACACGCACCCCATGAACATATGTGGACACACACATCCCGTGCACACACGTGGACACTCATGCACACCTTGTGCACATATGTACACACAGGTACACACGCCCCAGACACACACACCCTGTGCACACACATGGACACACACACACACACCCCAGGCACATACCTGGATATACGCACATGCACCCTGGGCACACACCTGGACACACGCACACACACGTCCTGGGCACACACGTAGACACACAGGATCGCTGTGGACTGGATGCAGGTGTGGTACCTGTTTTGTCGGTGAGCAGGTACACCAGGCGCCCCAGCTCCTCTGGGATGGTGCTGGTCCGCACAACTGTGCCGGGGATGCTCTCGTCCTTCATGATCATCCAACCATACGCAGCTTTGCCCATGTCCAAGTTCACGCGCAGACTGCCAAACAAAACCCAGCAGAGCTGTCAGTGAGGTCCAAAGCCATGCAACACTTTCACTTGTGTTTTCCAGAGATTTATTACCTTTAACCTTATGTGAACTAAGTAGGTAATGGTGGATTTCAGAATTTAAAATAAATGAATTTGCTGGCACTTAAGCCAACAAATCTCTTTACGCCCCATAACATGTTCGTGGGTGATGGCCAAATGGGCTCCTGATCGTTCTCCAGATGACAGTGGGGAATCAGATGTCTGAGAAGGTGGGTGGCTGGCTGTATGCACCCCTGCATACACACAAAGGAGGGATGGCTGTATGCACCCCTGCGCACACCCAAATGAGAGGGTGATGGCTGTACATACCCCCATACGCCCACAAAGGAGATGGCTGTATGCACCCCTGTGTACAAGGAAAGGAGAGGGTGGTGGCTGTACGCACCCCCCCCGCACACCCGCAGAGGACAGGGTGGTGGCTGTATGCGCCCCCCGCACACCGCACACTGAGAAAAGAGAGGGTGGTGGCTGTATGTGGCCCCCCCCGCACACCGAGAAGGAGAGGGTGGTGGCTGTACGCACCCCCCGCACACCCACAGAGGAGAGGGTGGTGGCTGTACGCGCACCCCGCACCCCGCGAAAGGAGAGGGCGGTGGCTGTACGCACCCCCCGCACACCCACAGAGGAGAGGGTAGTGGCTGTACGCACCCCCCGCACACCCACAGAGGAGAGGGTGGTGGCTGTACGCACCCCCCGCACACCCGCAGAGGAGAGGGTAGTGGCTGTACGCACCCCCCGCACACCGAGAAAGGAGAGGGCGGTGGCTGTACGCACCCCCCGCACACCCAGAAAGGAGAGGGCGGTGGCTGTACGCACCCCCCGCACACCGAGAAAGGAGAGGGCGGTGGCTGTACGCGCCCCCCGCACACCCAGGAAGGAGAGATTTGTGTTTATGGAAATCAGGCAGCGCCTCACTGGGAGCAGACATTGGAAGTGCACCCTCGTCTTCACCTGCTCATTTTACAAGAGCACGCAGGAGGCTTCCGCTGGTGATGACTGCCAGGCTGAACTCGCCCTGGGGGCAGTGCTCGGCCCCTCGCAAGGCCAGGCTTCCGCACCGGGGCTGGGACCTGAGGCTCAGGACGGTGTCAGAGGCAGTTAACGGGGTCAGTGGTAAGAGGGAGGGTCCGGGCAGCCAGGGTGCAGAGCCAGGGTTCCACACTCAGAGCCACGGAGGCCCCGACTAGGCCTAGGCAGGGCCCGAGTTACATTCACAAATGGTGCCTCTCTGACCCGAGCTGCAGTCATCCACCTGCCGGGTGAACTGAAGCACCCACTCTGCTTGTACTTTTGTGCAGGACAGTTCTGGCTTCGCTTGGCTCTCATTAATAACTAGGCTTAAGATCATCCCGACAGGCTGCAAAGTGCAGAGAAAAGTCTGTGCCTCATGGAATTCTGTCAAGAAAACTGCAGACATGATGTGCCTGCGCCATGAGATGAGGCTGCTGATCCCCAACCATTCTGGCCAAAACGGCCACTCCTGTGGCTCCGCTACTAACAAAAGCGGAAAACAACGTGGGGGAGTCACATCAGTGAAGACAGTCTGTAGGGAAGTTAAAGAAAATTTAAATAGTCATAATGAGCTATTTGTCCATAAAGCTCACATCTTAAAACTCCTAAGACCTCTAACTGTCAGAAAGAAAAGTTCTAACTGACAAGTACAAAGACCTCTGAAGCCCAGCCTCGCTACCTCTTGGCGGCCTGCAATCCCGGGAAAGCAGTGAGAGCTGCCGGTGCGAGAGGACAGACACCCGGGACGGCCCGGGAGGGGGGGCGGGCAGACAGGGCAGCCTCGCGGCCTCCTGTTAGAATCGGGGGCGCAGACACCACTCTCTCCGTGGGGCCGTGGTGAGGCGCGCAGAGCGGCGGGGGAGGAGGGCTACGGAAGCGTGGGTGAGGGTCCCACTGCCTGGAAGGGCTGAGGGTCTTGGGGGCTGGAAGAGAGAGACGCAGCATCTTGTGTGGACTCGGCCGTGAGCCCGGCGCCGGCGACCGGGCAGGCCCTCTAAAGCAGGGTGGTCAAGTGAGAGGCTCAGCGGGCCAGCGAGCGGGCGGGGGCGGGCGGAGGCGGAGGCGGGGGGCCGGCCCGCGGTGGCCCGGGTGCGGGGGGCGCAGGGCGCGGTATCGCTCCCGGAGAAGTCTGGCACGGCGGGCTCGGCAGGCCCAGAGGCCGACACGGTGCGGGAACGTGACCGTCTTCTTTGTGTACTGGGGTCAAATTATTTTGGAAAACATCAGCCCATCTCAACTACCAGGAGGCAAATGGGTACTTTCCCAGAACTCACAGCATGCTGCTGGGCTTGGGGCTGAGGGGAACCTTCTGGGTTCTTCCCCGATGTTCTCTTGACCTGACGAACAGCTAGTTTAACAAAACAAGCACAGTCGTCACCGAGCTGTAAGAGTCTTACTTCCTGAGACAGTGTGACGCACCGGCGGGAGAGGAGCGCCTGGCCCGGCCGGGCGTCGGGGCTCGGAGCCGGCCCCGCTGGGAAGCACGGCGCTCCTTCCGGACCACAGCACCCCACCGCGGCCTCCCCTCCTGCTACACAAACGTCTGAGGAGGAAAGGTGAGGCGTACTGTCCCAAAATACGCGATGCGATTCGATGCCCTTCAGGCCCCACGCTGCCTGGCGCATCTCGGCGGCCACGTGTTACCAGGAAACCGCGGTGTCCTCGCCACCAGGTGAGCCGGGCCCTGGGCTCCTCGGGGGACAAATCCACCTGGACGGCTCATGCGCACGCCTGCCTGACTGGGGCTTAGTCTTAGATCTTAATCTGAGCAAAAGAAAAGTCATCTTAACGAGAGGCTCTCCTGTAGATTATCACCTAAAGGAAACGGCACAGGTGTGCTTCCTTTAGGGGACATTCTTCACCTTGCGACACCTTCACACTCTGGGACACACGGAGGGCGGCTGACGTCACCCGACACCCCACAGGGCGACGGTGCCGCCCGGGGGCTGTCAGGACCCGGCCTCGTTCCAGGCTTCAGACGACTGTACTCTGTCGCCTAGCGAGTGTCTGACCTTTTCACAAATGCCTTATGTGCCACGTGCCGCCCTCCTCCCGTGCCCGACGGCACAGAGCAAATCTACGGTTTCTCCGTGGGGAGCACCCGTGCGTCCACGTGAGCGAGTGTGGGGCCAGAGCTGCCCAGCGACCTGGTTGCTCTTTCACTCCCTGCATGTCAGGGACCAGCCCCCGCCCCACCCTCCGCCCAGGCTCTCCTACAGCTGCTTCCTGCGCTCCGTCCGGAAAACGCATGCTTGACTGAACTTCACAGTTTAAGTTAGGTGTGACTTGTACTCCTTTTTAATTTCCAAAGTTACCAGTCCCAGCATCTCGGACAAACCACAAACTTGAGTTTTCCGAGCCTCGGTAGTAGTCCCTGTAAAATGCCACGTGTGTGCAAGGTCACGGTGGAAACTGCACTGACGCCTAAGTCAGTGGCTGAGCTCCATCACTGGGGCAGACGATCGCCGGTCTGAACAGCCGGACAAGGTGTGACAGAAACGACAGGCCCTGAGCTAAGACGGAGCGGACGGGGTGTGCAGCACGGCCCTGCCCCAGCAGGGAGGCAGGACGTAGGCTCGCAGGGCACGGACAGAACCGGGGGCAGAGCCAGGTGGGCATCCACGCGGCCCACACCTGCGGCTGCACGCACAAGGACAAAGAACACAAGATCCGGAAACGCGTGAAAGTAGTTTAAATTGGTATCAGCAAAATTCTAAATCGCACTGAATTCCTGAGCTGGTGTGGGAAGACTGGAGATTTGTAATAACGTAGCGTTTTAGGAAAAATAAATGGGAGCGTCAGAGTTCCCCAGAGAAACTGAAGCGAAGAAAGCCTGGAGCCCCGAGACGGGGGAGAAGCCGTGCACAGGGCAGCGGGCGGCGGGCCAGGGCCCAGAGCTCCGTGGGGGCGTGGAGAACACAGCACTGCTGCGAGCCACACTTGGGGACACAGGGGCAAACTCAGGAGGGCCTTGCGGGACAGTCACCTTCTCGCCTTCCATTCAGAGTGACGTCAGCCCATCTCCTCAGCATCCACAACGGTCAAAGACTAGTCACAGGATCAGATACTGGGGTGAAGGGCAACAAGGCAATTCAGGCCTTCCCCATGTTCAGAATGGTTTTGGCTTTTACTGGGGAGCCACGTGAAATAGTGCCCGTGCTATGCAGCAGCTAGAGCTCAGGGCTATGTGTGTGTGTGTGTGTGTGTGTGTGTGCACGCGCGCACGCGCCTGCAGAAGTCATCCTGTACCGCAACAGTATAAATACATTTGTGCAGGGGTGAGGCCAGGTCTTTTGTGTCAACATGTCAAACGGATTCCTGTTAAAGGACTGACACTTCCTTTGGTTCCTAAATAAATAAAAGTAGTAATTATATGCAATTTGATGCACCTTAAAATAAAACATCTCCAACAGTCTACACGGCCAAGGTAGCCAAGACCAAGCGCCCAGAGCAGCAGCATCAACAAGGAAGCTAGCCAGGCGAAAGGGGCCGATGAATCGGTGGAGGGCTCAAGGCTGGAAAAGCTCAGCTCAGCTCTCTACCCAAAGGGGACAGTAACCACGGCAAAGCCAGGACAGAGGAGAGGCGGCCGCGCGCGCGGCGGAGACCAAGGCTGCAGCACAAGGGACCCGCCCCGGCCCCCGAGGACAGGCCAGGGACTGGGCCTTAGGGACCGGCACTACAGACTAGCCGAGCCGTGGTGGGTTCGGGGGAGGTGCTCCCCAGAACTGGTTGAAATAAAGTGGCTGCTTTCTCCTTGTGTAACCAAGCGAGCAGAACACGAGCCTGAGGCCTCGAACACCATCTGTGCACCCGGTGAGGAGGACGTGGCAGAGAACGACACTCACCCAGAAGAAAGCGGAGGCAAGACGTGAGGAGCAGAGTCCCAGGGGCTGTGCGCCTCACCCAACGAACCCGGCCATTCTTCCCTGTAGCCGT